ATTATGTATATTATGTATATTTGCATGATAACGATTACGAAAGTTTTAAAAAGTAAATGATAATACCATCGAAAGTCCCTCACGATCACAGCAAAATCTACCGAAACAGCTGAAAACTAAAAACTCCAGATTAAGCGTAGCCACTCACTGTCTTCTGTTGATGATGATGTTGATGATCGCGAAGAGAATGAGCAGTAGACCAACCCCAGCCACCACACAACCGGCGGTGATGATCCCGCGGTGACCTGTGAGCAGGACTCATTAGCACAGGGAGTAGAGCGGAGGATTTTTTTCGTGTTTTTTTTTGGTGGTAAGTACTCTACAGCGCTGGCATCTTCATAAGGTCATCTGAGAGCGCGAGACAAATTAAACATTAAGTTACAGTTTGGTACGAATTAATTTTGAATTTTGAGCGAGGCGGCGGCTGAAGCTCACTCTTATCGATGCTAGGACCACCAAAGGATCTTTAACGTGCGCAATGTGCACAAGGAACGTTCATGATTTTTTCGCCCTTATCCAAGACGGCTAGGTATTTGATGTTACTCTAATACCCACTGCCCATTGGGGGATCGGTTCTCTAATACGGAGTGCTTATTGGAGAATCGATAAACCGATCGCCAACCGATCGCCTGATTCCGATCGGTTTGTTTCACCATGGTTGCTTCTTCTTCGTCAAATCGTCGGAGAGGTGTAAGAAGGAGGAAGCTGGATTAATGGGAGGGTTTCAGTAGGATGGAACTACACACTATATAGCCCACAGACCTCACAGAGTAGGAAAATATTTCTTAAACTTAAAGATTTTATTTTTTCACCCATGCACTGTCGTGTTCTCTAAACCTGTATTGTGGGTGCTCTGTTGGTTACGTTGTTCGCCTCTCTTTCAATAGGCCTCGGGTTCGAATCCCGTCACTGACGGAAAATTTTCTTGTCTAAAATTTTCTCCTTTCACCTCCTTTCCTGCTCTCTACCAATGTTCTGTCGTATGTTTTCGTCTTCACTTTCAGTCCCCATTCCCTCACTCCCATCGCCCCCCCCCCCTGGGCTTATGACTCCTTTTGCAGCCTTTCTATCGCTACTCTTTGGCTCCGTCATACTGTTGTTTTTCAGCTACGCCCCTGATCTCATGGTAGGTAAGATCAGCCACCTAGCCTTCTTGGACGAGGGCGAAAAACCTCGGAGGTCCGGGGTGCAAGTTGCACCCGTTGAAGATCCCTTGGTGGTCGAAAGTACATGTAGAGTAGGCTTCGCCCGCGATACAGGCAATATTCCAAATTTCCCCGCGCGGCATATGACCATTTATTGCTGTTGCAAGCGCTGTAACACACTTCCAAAATATAAAATTAACACGAAAAACACGCCCCCCCCCCTAACAACAACAACAAAACCTAACCACCATGTACTTTAATTCGTCAATAGCGTCTAACAATAACCTCATTAATTATTGTACAAACAGCAACCACAACATCAGTTATAACAACTGTATCTTTAGCAATAACAATGAAATGGCAGCAGCTGCTGCAAGTACAAGTTACGATCGAGCACGAGGAAGTGCGGAACACGCCACATTCTAAAAGTGCAGCAGTAACAATTTCAACGTGCACGCACAAAGAAACGTAGGTGAGATAAGGACGATACACATTTTAAGGAAAGAGAGAACAACCACTTCAGAGCACAAGACCTTCCGACCACTCGTAAGAAGAAGAAGCAGAAGAAGAAGAAGAAGAAGAAGAAGAAGAAGAAGAAGAAGAAGAAGAAGAAGATGATGATGACTAAGACTATCACTATAACTTCATCAATTGTAGCAAAGTTCGCATTTTGACGAGTCATTTCAGCCTCTTCTTTTCTTCAGACAACCAGCACTCACGGCGTCATCTGACCAGTGTAGAAAATCTTACAGTAATTTTTTAAAAATATGCCTTCCTTGTTTAGATTTAGAAATTATGTTGTTGTTTGATAGATCTAGTTCTTTCATATTATAATATGATCTTTTCCAGTTTTTTCTTTGTGTGTTACCATCCAGTAACACTTCTGAAATTTGGCACTTGTGCATAGATAACGACTCATGACCTTTATTGTGTTGCGAGTGCTGTAATACTCTTACTAAAACTTAAGGGGAGGAGCGACCCTTGATTTGGCAGATTTTGGGTCAGGCTATGCAAATTTTCTGTTGGCTGATTTTTGAAGATCAACCAGTTTTTTCTCAAAATATCGCATGGATACATTTGAGAAAGTGTTTATTCTTCACGTAAATTGCCTTTGAAAACATGACGACGGGTTAATATAGTGAATTTTCACAATAATAGTCAGTTTTCGCAAAATGAATTTTTTTTGCCGTTTTTTCCCTACTCCTTCCTTAGTTTTCATCATTTTGACATGAAACTTTCAGGAGACATAGATGACAAGGTTGCCATTAATGTAACAGAGAGATATTTGCGAAAACAGTAACACTTGAGAGTGTAGAGCAGTGAAGGGGGAAAGAGGGAAGGGGGGGCGGGGGGCGTGGTAGAGTAGAGGTGACTTCAAAAGATAATTTAGCCCTTCTCAAGGTAAAATGTGGCACATTTGTGAAGTGTGCTGACAAAATGAGTTACTTCTCGGATTCAAGCTTTATGAAATAGAAACATCATGTTTATAAGTGAAGTTTTATTATTTATTAGTATGAAAAAATTAGAGGCATGTTATTCATAAAAAATAGAGCATCGATAGAAGATCTACTAATTTGACCTCGGCGTTGATATTTTTGCCGCTATCTCCATTTGGGGATTGCGAGAAGTAACTCATTTTGTCAGCACGACACACATTTATTGTTTGTTCATTTATTTATTTCACTGCCACAGAATTACAAAGTTCTATCTGCTCAGTGCCTAGTTTTTTTTACAAATTTGTCGTAAAAAATTCAGAGTTTCACATGCCAGGGTTTTTCGAATACTACTCTTTGAATATCTTGATAACGGCTCCAAATAGTCTAAGGAGTTTGATAGAGCATATTCTTTGACAAGCCTCATATTCTTAATAACTCAAAACGACCAAACATATCAGATAAAACGTTGCAATTCAAGGGTAGCAAAGCGCTAGCGAGAGGACGAAGTGTGAACGTAGAGGAGAGAGAGGAAGAAGACGGTGATATCAAAAGACCTGTCCAAAGATTCAACCCCTCTCCTGGTAAAATAGCATTCGTATTGCTTGTTTGTTTTTTGTTTGTTTGTTTGTCAGTTTGTTAGTAAGTTAGTTTGTTTGTTTGTTTGTTGAGTGAAGAGAAGCAAGGCGACACAATGACAATCTACGATTGTGTACAACCTTTTTCCTTTAGGAGGCAGGCTCCAACCCTGACTGTCAAAGCAACCCAGCTTGAGAGGTATACAACGCCCAATCAAAGAGACCAGGGTACTCGATAAAATTGTTCTCCAATCTGGAATCGAACTCTGGTCTTCAGCGTGCGATGGCAGAGCAAGTAAACGGTATGCCAGAGACGCCGGTTAAGTTGTTGCAATATCGGTCACTCATCGTGCCACAAACTTCACACTCGTACCACATTGATATAAAATGTCTCTGCTATATAATTTTGTTCTCTTTTGGTTCTACAGGCAGCAACCAACAGTTAATTAAATACCAGAAACTTTACTTTAAGAATAATTTTCATTTCCCCTGCATGTGTGCTCTCCTGTGAGTCTTGAATTTCGATCATCGAATCCCAAAATTAAAAAAAAAAAAAATACATAGTATACTACAAAACAAAAATATTTAGGACACCACCAATAACAACTCACCGTGTATTGGAGTCAGCCAAGAGCTGTGTGTTACGTTCAGGGTCACGATATCCCGACCTCTGTCGGCTACGTGAAACACTGAATGGTTACCATGACGACGGTCAGCGGCAGTCATCATGGCTGACACAATCGACTCGTCCAGCTCTGATGTAGAGTTGTCAGTGTTGAGAGGACTTCTGTCAACTGAACAAGGAGTTGGACACTCAAACACGTCATGGATTTCGATTATGTTTGGCTTACACTGCGACACATAGACCTCTTTGGAAAAGAAGGACATGGAAGAATGGAATATGGCAGAACACTACTTGTGGAAGGGATTTTTAGACATTTTCTTTGGAAATTGTAAAGCTGAACCCAATGGAAGTACTCTCGAAGTCCTATTTCAAAGAGATAGCTCCATAAAGTTTGTTCCATAGATAGCCAATACATTGCTTAGAAGCAAATTTGTTATGGTTTCGCTTGTTTTCTCAAAATGTTTATTTCATGACTTAAAAAGTAAAAATTCTAAAACAATTTAAGAAAGAAACATGAAATTTGAGAGTACGTGCACCATACAATTTTCATTAATTTTCACAACAACAAAAACAAATAGGGAAAATAACCCATTTGTAGAATTTGTTGCAAAGAAGTAGTGTGTGAGAACTGCAAATGTACATTTTGGTGACTTAGCTCAATGTATTTCGATAAAGTCCACATACATACAAATGTGTTTTAAATGAATATAAAAGGTATTGAGCCCTAAATTACAAACAAAATCGATAAAAACGTCGGTTTCTTCAATATCATTATTTTTACGAGTGGCTGATTCCTCCACGCTGCAAATGTTTTTTTGGGTTTTTTTTTAAAGATCTCTGTTGAAACTGAACCTTTGTTGTGTAACGGTATCCCAATCGACAACATGCTGTACTACTAAGTCTGTATTAACACCCGATAAAAGATTGAAAAAGCAAAAAACCAAAAAACAGACACAAGCGAACAATAATCATACCATGTCTGGGGTTCCAATGGGCCAGAATGCGATGATGCCTTCTCAGTGGCCCAGGCCTTGGTTTCTTCACCACTGTCTTGTCACCGATCCGTTGTTTTCTCCTAGAATTTTCACCCCTAAGTTGTGCGTCATTTTGTCCCCCATCACGAACGATTTTAGCTTTTGAAGGCCCACGAGATGATTTTTCACCAGGCAGTCCTCTGATATAATATGACGGGCTTGATGTCTTTGATTGAAATGTTGGTGTGTCAGAACCTTCTGTCGGGGAGAAAAGGGGACCTTGATGAGGGGTTCGGGATGAAGGAAAGGATGCAACCAATTCTGAAGAATTCACCTCATGTTTGAGACTGTTCATAAAGTCTTCCAGAGATAATCCTTTGGAGTGTTCCATTTTGTAGTGGGGATCCCCAATGTTGCTTGAAGTTTGATGAGGGTGTTGCAGTTCAGGAGTCTCTAATAACATGTTGCTTGTAACGTCGTTTATGTCATGAGAATGGAGCAGTTTCTTGAGGTCGAAGTCACGGGGGCTTGCAATCCTGTCGTCAACAGGCGTTGAGTTGTGGGTAGAAATATTACCCAGCCAGTTGTCTTTCGCAAAGTATGGCATTTGCTCCGAATAATCTGAATCGATTTGGTCCCTTTGAAAAGCATGTCCCGTTCTCATAGTATTTCCGTGGTAGTTGGACTCTCGAGAAAGCTTTAATTTGTCTTTCTCGATCCCTTTTTCAGCTTCCGCAAAGTTTAAGTAGTTCCACGTTTTTGAGCTTCTGCCTTCAGTCTTCGAGGTCATGTCGCCTTTCTCTGTTCTGCTAAGTGAATTTCGCTGGTTCTTTGAAGCCAAACCATTTACTCCATAAACATTATCGAATGTTCTCGAAGACGCTGTTTTACCAGCATTATCATCAGGAGTGTCACCAACGATTTTATCATCATCGCCTTTGTCGTCGTAAGATTTATTCAAGTCCAAAAAGTCTTTCTCAATGTCTTGATCGGAAATGTTATCTATTGGAAAGTTAGAAAGTTTTTCAGTGCCAGGAGCTGTCGTTCCTAGAATTTCTGGTGACATTATGGAGTACCGTACCCTTTCATGAAGTGTAGCTATCACTCTTTTATCATAGCATCTTTTTACGTCTTCCCATCCACGTTTAGGTTATGAAGCTGTTCATTGCAGTGACGTGTACCGTTATCTGAGGTAGTCTGGTGGACGAGGTAACTGGGTTAGTTACATGTATTGAAGAAAACCGGAGAGGCTTATGAAAGACAACAACTAACAAACAAAAAAAAAAAACCCCGCCAAAGGATGACAAAAATTTTGGATTTGGGCTAATATTTAAATTCTTTCCCGATGTAACAATTTCTCCATGTTGTAGTGCTTAACATCAATAAGGGTAGGTCACAGCTTGGAGAAGCCCAAGTGTTGTGGTGTTGAGAGATAGAGAGAAAGCGTGGAAAAGGGAGAAGACAGATATAATACTGTTAGAGAGATAGAAACAGAGAGAAAAAAACAGACTGAGAGACCAGCAGACAAAGAGAGAGAGATGTGTACCTCAGTAGATCAACGGAAATAAAGCAATATTGGATACCATACATCAACTACACGTTCTTGACATCTATCATGCCCTCGTTGATATGTGGGGTAATTAGATAGAAGGGTTAGTAGAAAAAGTATAAAGCTATAACTAAAGACAAGAACATACTAGATCTAGATCTAGATCTAACTATCACACCCAAGAACCAGATCTAGATTTAGATGTCACAACAAAGTAGCATTACAAAATACTCCAACCTTATTGCCTTGTGCACAAGTGTCAGCCGATAAGTATCAATATAATCTAGATATAGATCTAGATCTAGATGTAGAGATCATCAACTTTGAAGCAGGGTTTCTTTTTTGAGATAGCTCTCCCATGACGTGATCAAATATGGAAGAACAGTGTTCACCGCAGATGCTAATTGGTGTGTACCAGAAATAGCAGGAATCCGTTTCCTCTTTCATATTATGTTCCCCCCTCTTTTCTTACCTTCCCCTTCACCAGTTCTATCCCTCGCTCCCTATATTCCTCTTTTACCCTCTCTTTCCCCCTGTCTTTTTCACCGTAATTATCAACCTCTCTCTTTCAATCTCTGTCTCCCTCTCTTCCTTCCACACGCTCGGTTTCTCATTCACTCGGCCCTCTCTACCTCGATCTCTCTTTCTCAATCTCTTTACCATCTTATCTCTATTTCTATATCTGGTTATCTCTCTTTTTTTCTTTGATTTTGTATCCATCTCTATTCCGTCTCTCAGTCTGAAATATTTCTCTCTCTCTCTCTCTCTCTCTCTCTCT